TAGTATGCCTTTATAAATTGGCACACACCATGTCATATAGCACCAATAAAAAGGATCACATTCCTTAAAAAGAAAGTGAATCGCTATTCGTCGCTCCCTTTTTATCAGGTCGCTCCCAATCTTGTGTGAAATGACCATTTTGTCTTTTGTTTATTTTGTGCTATTTAAAGGTTCACCGACTAGTCATAACGAATCACGATCATATTAAAAACATTATCGAGCGGTTTCACTCAAAGTTTCCTTTTCAAAATCCCGAGTCCCAAAATTCCCGAGCGAGGGCAAAACAAATCGGTTTTTTTTTCCCAAAATTTTTCTGAAGCTGAATTTACGGGCTTAAGATGTGGAATGACGGCAACGATCGCACACCGGAGGCATCGTCGGAAGATTCTGTAAGTTTCGTCAAATTTTTTTTGTTTCTGTTTTAAGGACATCCGGATAAAATTTCCGGATCTTCCATTGAGGATCCGGAATTTTCAGGCGGATCCTCCATGGATTATCCGGAAATTTTATCCAGATGTCCCTAAAACCGGATTTTTTTTTTCTTTTTTCTTTTTTGTTTTTTAATATATTAGTGTTATTGTTGATGTTTTTTTATTATTATTATTAGTATTATTTTATTATTAGTGTTGCTATTATTATTATGGTTATTATTATTATCATTATGGTTATTATTATTTTTTTTAATTGTTTGTGTGTTTATGGTTATTAGTATCGCTATTATTGTTGTTATTATTGTGTTTACTATTATTGTTTTTATTATCGTTATGATTAATTGTGTTATTATTATGATTAATTTTATTATTGTTTCGATAATTTTTTTTATTATTGTTATGGTTATTTATATTAGTGTTATTGTTAATGTTTTTGATTATTAGTATTAGTGTTATTTTATTATTAGTGTTGGCTATTATTATTATGGTTATTATTATTATCATTATGGTTATTATTATTTTTTTTTGTTTTTTTGTGTGTTATTGGTTATTAGTATCGGTATTATTGTTGTTATTATTGTGTTTACTATTGTTGTTTTTATTATCGTTATGATTAATTGTGTAATTATTATGATTAATTTTATTATTGTTTCGATAATTTTTTTTATTATTGTTATGGTTATTTATATTAGTGTTATTGTTAATGTTTTTATTGTTTATATTATTTTTAGTATTGTTATGATTATTGTTAAGTTGTTTTTAGTATTGTTATAGTTATTTTTAATATTGTTATTATTATTGTCTATACTAGAATTAGAAGTAAAGTGTTTGTGTTGTATGTGTGTCATCATTATTTTTTATAGGGTTCGGAGTACGAAGATGGTGCCGACGATGTGAATTATAGTGCGCATTTTGCCATAGACACGTTGTTTCCAACGTTTGATGAGGCAGTTAATTGGGCGAATGCTGTTGCCGTAAATCTGGGTTTTCTTTTGGTTAAATCGTCTTACAACAAAACCAGAGACGGTCGGCCGTACCGGTATTTGAGGTGTGATAGGGGCCGAAAGAGCCAGCCGAGAGATCTTGAGAATGCAATTAGGAGGGACACCAAAACCAAAGCAATTGGTTGTCCTTTCTACATCAAGATTTATTATGTCTTCGTCACCGACAGTTAGAAGATCCGGGCCAAAAATGATGCAACTAGGACCCATAAAATGATTGTCATCGTAAGATTAGTGGTTTGAGCCCGGATGCGAAGAAGGTTGTGCAGGACATGACAAAGTCCAAGGTTGCACCACGGAACATCATGGCGACTATTGCAGAGCAATTCCCGATGATCATCCAAACATCCGACATATCTACAACTGCCGGAATGACTTGAGAGCGGAGATGTCTAATGGGAGAGGAGTTGTTCAGAAATTTCTGCATTTGGCGAGACAGAGCCAGTATATTTACTGGGTCATGTCTGATGATGTCGACGTTCTGCAGCATGCGTTTATGGTGCACCCGATCACGGTGAACATACTACGGACGTACCCGTATGTGATCAATATGGATTCGACATACAAGACCAACCGATACGGGATGTCGTTCTTTGAGATAGTTGGTGTGACACCGGCAAATCAGAATTTCCTCGTCGGTTATGTGTTCATGCGCAATGAGTGCACGGGAAGCTACCGGTGGGTACTATAGAGATTAAGAGAGTTGATTGGGTATGATAAGGAGCCGTCGGTATTTTTGATTGGCCGTGAGCTTGGACTTTAAGCGGCATTGAGAGAAAAGTTTCCTGGGACGTCGCATTTGCTTTGTCGGTGGCACATTAACAAAGATGTGGAGGCTCGGGTCACTAATATGTTCAAGAACAAGAAGATTGGGGGGCAATTCAAAAACGGTCCTTGGCAACGTATCATGGATGCTGCGACCGAGGCGGATTATAACTCAGCTGTAGACAGAATGAAAACTCGGTGGGCAAGTTTCCCAAATGTGATTAGTTATGTCGAGAGAACCTGGCTTTGTCATAAGACCAAATTCGTGACATTCTGGACGAACCTGCACTTCGGTAACACGAGCACTTGCAGAGTTGAGAGTCAACATTCGGCCGTGAAGATGTGGTTTGAATCTTCGACAAGTATGTTGTTGGAATTTTGTAGCTGGTGTATATACTTTGTTTTAGTTCCATTTTTTTTGTAAATACCAACGGGTTTTTTATAATTAACTTCAATGGAAGGTTCTTTGGATACCGTCTGGGCCCGAGTACATAGTCATATTGGCAACCAGATCATTGCCATTCGTAATTCATTGGAGGCGTCAAGGTCGAAGATCGGTGAGAAGTACAGACAGTTGCCACTGTCTCGTATTAACGACAAGGTGTCTCAGCATTGTCTGAAAGTACTAGATGACGAGACGAGAAGGATGAGGGAGCTGAGTTACCAGGTGCATGACCGTTGTGGATGTGCAATGCGTGTGACCCACGGTTTTCCATGCGCTTGCCAGATACATGACTCGTTGGTTGCGCAAACAGGCTTGTATAGAAGGAAAATTCATCCGTTCTGGAAGACCTTGGTTATCGGCGATGGTGTTAATGTACCGGAGTTCGTGAACGATTCTAACGAGGATGCTGCACATTTTCATTCCCTGGTTGATGAGGTCGTTGGTAGTGATCCTGCTATACTTCGAAATGTATCTCACATTATTGAGGAGGAGCTGCATCCGGATCATTCAAACCTTGAAGAACCACAAGTGAATCACAACGTTCGAGGTCGCCGAAGGAACAACGATACTAGACGACATCCCAGTTACTTCAAACATGTGGACCGTCGATACACTGAACGTGGTGCGCAACAAACAGGTACGACTTGCTATTGGTTTTGTGATTTACACGTATTTCAACTCCTAGCGTATTCATAACGAAAACATAAACTGTGCAGCGGCAAAAGATCAAGGTGACATCCGCCAATGCCGGTATTTACACTTGCTTCCAGGACCGATGTTACCTTACATCACGGGATGGAAGGATGTCATTGGCGATGGTAACTGTGGATTTCGTTGTGCGGCCGACTTCTTCCTCGGAGATCAAGCAAAGTGGTATGACGCTCGGGAAATACTAGCGAATGAGGTCGCCGCTCACCCCTTCTTGTACGAAAGGATATACGGGATAGGAAGGGTATGGCTGAATGTGGAACGCATTCGATGGGATGGTGGGGCTGTTGATTCACGACACTGGATAGTTGCTATTCAAGATTTATTTCCTATTGCTACTTGGTTCAACGCAGTGGTTATTATTCTTGGTGTAGGTAACGACCCGACCTGCTATTACCCTTGCCTCACGATCTTACCGTTGCGGGCATGAGCCGGGGTCAGAGCACCAACCCGGGAATTTGTCATCGCTACAGTTGGGGGGTCACAATTCATCTGCATTGATCTAGTCGAAAATTCACCTCTTCCCCCGATCGCAGGATGGTGGACAGAGAACCACGAGCCAAGTGTCGGTGGATGGGATCAGCTATATATCGCTAGAAGGAACTTGTGGGATGCATTAGTTGGCCAGTGAACAGATTCATGTAATTAGGTTGAAAGATGGATTTATGTAATTAGGTTGAATAGATTTATGTAATTAGGTTGAACAAATTTATGTAATTAGGTTTAATAGATTTATGTAATTAGGTTGAACATATTTATGTAATTAGGTTGAACATATTTATGTAATTAGGTTGAAAGACGAATTTATGTAATTAGATTGAATAGATATATGTAATTAGGTTGAACATATTTATGTAATTACGTTGAAAGACGAATTTATGTAATTAGGTTGAACAGATTTATGTAATTTAGGTTGAACAGTTCTAGGGATATAATATAAAGAAATCAATCAAAGTAATGATACAAAGTTGAAACAAAACTCGCAATTACATTATTTTTATTTACAAAACAAAGTTTCAAATGAACTAGCTAATGGTAAACAAAAACAGAAGTGGTTCACAGCCCCATCCTCGTCTGCCAGTCAAAAATCAGCTGCTCAGTCATCCCCCTCGTGTCAAGCGACATGCTGGGATACTCCGCCAGTGACCTACGGTGAATCTCCATGGAATGACCCATCCACTGCAAATAAGAGAACAACACATTAGTTACATAATTCACAATTAGCGTACATGGAATTTAAAGTATAAATAAAACACAAGTGCTTACATAGTCCGCGTTAGTCCTCTCTAGAAGTCTGTCCCCAGCTGATGACCCACCCGGAGAAATACGAGGATGAGAAAATCGGTAGAGCCACTGCATGTAACCAGGACCGACCGTAGGAGCTCCACCGCCGAGTCGGGTAAGGGCACCGGGAACAACACTGAACGACAAACCAGGGACAAACTGAGTCCACATCACTGATGTCATCTCAGTCGGGAACTCTACCCGATACATCTTCAAGTTCAAAGGCCTCTTAGCCTTCTCAGGCCTGATAATGGTCCTCGGAATGTCCTGCACGAATCCCAGCTGTCGAACGACTCGATCAGTCATGTATGACTCAATGATACTCCGATACTGGATGCAGCCAATAAATAAAGTGGGCGGCACGCGTCATGCCGGATCAACTCCGTACGGGAGCCAGGTAACCTCATTGTCGGTCAGCTGATCCAATCTAACACGAAATGCGAGGAGGCGCTCCATGCTCTTGTTGGGGAATCCCGATCCCACATCCCAAGCCGAGGCACGCGGAACACTGAGCTCCCTAGTCAAGGTACCCTGCTGAGGCCGGAAGCACGGAAAATACTCGTAGATCCACGCCTGCAGAAGTGTGAGACAACCAGCGATAGAATCGGCATCTTTTCTAGATGTCGTACCCAACTGCCAATACAAATACGCCAGAACAGCTGAACCCCAAGAGTACTCATCGATCGGCAGATCATCCACAACAAGCTCGCTGAGGAAGGACGGATGAGTACGGTTACCACTCTTGTCCAGAAACAGACATCCGCCCAGCACTAAGCACAGGTAGGCAGTGTAATGGACACTGAAAGGCCTCTGCGACTCCAGGGTCGAGTCCGCAATCCTCTCCGTCAGCATCCCACTACCCTGCCAGATGGTCTTGGTACCGCACTTCTCATTCAGCTCCTCTGCAGTCAAGTCCATGGTGATCGAGCATGCGTCCCGTAGCGTGTCCGTGCTGGGAGTAGCGGACACCATGCGACCATCTACACGAAGCCCTAGAATGTGGTACACATCATGCAGCATGATCGTGATCTCCCCAAATGGCATATGGAACGTGTTCGTATCTGGCTGCCATCTCTCAACAAAAGCTGAAATCAGCGGCCAGTCCAAACGCCTGAACATGATCCCAAGTAAGTGAGAAAGACCGCTACCGTCAATCAACTCCAGATGCTCCTGTGCAAGATGACCTCGCCAGGCGACCAATTCAGAACACAACTGCGTCCTGCCCAAACAGCGCAAAACATTACGCTCCTGCCCGCCCCATATATACGCAGCCACGTGCCCCCCAAAGCTAGGGATAACGGTCCCATCCTCAGGACCACCTGGCATCGCCTCCTGCACTACCCATGCCTCTGCTGAGCTGGTGGAAGGCTGACTGGTTTGACTACTGCTGACAAATCTCCCAGTCTGACCCCTATGCACCGTATGATAATAACGAGGGTCATACTCTTGATCGCGTGAAGCCTGACTTGCCTCATCGTCCTCATCGTCAGATGAAGGTGAAGGCACTCCACCCTACGAGTACATGGGGATGCTGCGTTCTGGTTGATGCTCCCCCGACCAGTTACCAGCATACCCATATCGCTGCTGGTGATCAAACGGTTCGGCCGTATTTCCTAAACGGCCTGACTCTCGCCTAACTGAGGCGTTCAAACGTCTAGATATTGCGTGACGAGTTCCCGAACCCTCAATCTATATTAAATACGTAGATAATCAAAAAAATCATAAACAAAAATAAATTTTGCCAAGCAAAAACACAAAAACAAACCAAAAAACATAAACAAAAAAATCAATAAAAATCACAAACAAATAAAAAAAATTAACAAACATAAACAAATTACACAAACAAAAATAAAACCTCACAAACATAAAAACAAAAGGATAAAAAAAAATCAATAAACAAAAAAATCACAAACAAATAAAAAAAATTTAACAAACATAAACAAATTACACGAACAAAAATAAAACCTCACTAAAATAATAACAACAGAATAAAAAAAAATCAATACAAAAAAAAACATCACAAACAAATATAAAAAAATTAAGAAACATAAACGAATAACAAAAACAAAAATAAACCTCACAAAAATAATAACAAAAGGATAAAAAAAACAAAAAACAAAAACAACACAAACAAATAAAAAAAATTAAAAATCATAAACAAATTACAAATAAAAAATAAAACCTCACAAAAATAAAAACAAAAGGATAAAAAATAAATCAATAAAAAAAACATCACAAACAAATTAAAAATAATTAACAAAGATAAACAAATTACAAAAAAATAAAATAAAATAAAATAAAATAAAAAAACAATAACAATAATAATTACAATAAAAAATAATAATAATAACAATAATAAAAATCCGGATGTTCTAGGGACATCCGGATTTTCCAGGCGGATGTCCCCAGATTTTCCAGAAATTTTTTTTTTCCAGAATTTTTTTTTCGTTCTTGATTACCTGTTCGCCGGAGAATCCACCGCCACCACGACCACCATACGTCACCCTTATCCGCCGGCGGTCAGCCATTGCAAGTCACTTGGGATTGTGGTTGTTTTCGGTTTTGTTTTTTTTTTTTTTTGGAGAATATTACAATTTTTTTCCAGATTTTGCTATAAATTTTCAAAATCTGGTTTTTGAAAAAAAATGGATTTTAGAGACAAATTTCAGATTTAAGATGTGGGTTTTTTTCGGTTTTTGTTTTTTTTTTTTAAGATTGTGACAAATTTTTTTTCTTCAGATTTTGTTATGAATTTTCAAAATCTGATTTTCGAAAAAAATTCTGATTTTAGAGAGATTACAGATTTTAGAGAGAGAAAATTCAAGTGTGAAATGTGTAGTTCGTGAGTCTCGTGGCTATTTATAACCAAGGGGCAATTTAGGAAATTCAAGTCAAAAATGCGAGCGACGCCCGGTAAAAAGGGAGCGACGAATAACAACACCCAAAAGAAATCATACACATTATAAGCTCTAAAATTTTAGCAAAATCCTAACAATTTGAGTTGGCTTGAGTTTCTGATTGTTATGGGGAACAAAGGTATGTTGTGTTCTCCGATTCTTGATGTTTATTACGATAACAAAATCTTTAGTTATAACGTAATGTTCCTCAGCTCAACTTAGTACAAACGTGCTTATTTTAACATACCTTTCATCTAACGCTGTTACTTTTCGTACTACACTTGTATGTTCAAGTCTATGGTACTAATATAATCTGTAGTGGTACTAATCTACTCTGTAGAGGTACTAATATGTGCGTTTTTATATTAACTGACCTTTATGTATGTACTACTGTCTATATACTTTGTTAATTTTTGTACCACACTTGTATTTTCAACTCCGTGGTACTAATATAATCTGTAGTGGTACTAATCTACTCTGTAGAGGTACAAATATGTGTGTTTTTTTATATTCACTGACATTTATGTATGTACTACTGTCTATATACTTTTCAACCCCTATACTACTCGATTGTAAAGTTTTACCATGTACTACTTTATATTATTTATCTTGACAAAGAAATTGAGTTTGTGATTTTAGTCATTTGTACTTATTTTTTTATCAGCTAAAAGTCGTGCTGAAAGAAGGCGTAAGAAGCTCTTGCGCAAAGTTGCAAAGTTAAAGAAAGTCAGGCAACATAATTCTAATGTTGTCATAAGAGATTTGTACATGCCTAGGTATAGCAAGAGGATGATGTTAAGTCATCAACTAGTCACTATTGCAAGAGGAGGCTTAGAAGACCTGTCAAAGACATTGATTTCCACCCGCACTATCCATTCTTGACAATGTTCAAGATTGGAAGGGCAAGGTACTTTTGCAAGGAGGCATATTGTTGTTTTACTTGATTGATGTTGCCAAGATAGTCGTGTCCTCCAACTTGAGGACATTAAGGAGATCTTTGGCAGAGTGTTATGCCTACCTAACTTACCACATTTACCTCAACTCTTCTTCGAGCTTTTTGAGGATCTTGAGGAATGGTGGCTAAATGTGGATGAAGCGGTGAATAATGGAGAAGAATGGGGAGTTGTCCTTCTTGGTAGGAGGTTCACTACCCCAAATGAAGGCAAGATCCAAACCACTTGCGAATGGCTTCATTACTCACATGATGATCCAATGGAAACTATTAACAACAACAACGAGCAGCGTATGTACTTTCGAAGAAAAATGTTGGCGGAAAATGGGTACGACGACATGGCTAACTTGTCTCTCGTTATAGCTAAACCGTTCGAGTACAATAACTACCCGCCTGAATATGTGAACCAGCTTCATCGTGCATTGCATTTGTATGAGACTAACACGGATACAAACTTGACTTAATGGTTGGACATCGGAATCAAGTTTTGAGTTTTGATTTGATGATGATACATTTCAAGTTGTTTCTTGTTAATGTTATGCTAAAGACGTATTTAATTGTTACTTTTGTAACGTACTCTAACATTTTTATTAATATTAAGGAATGGCTTTTAACTAAGAGGACTTCTGAGACATTAAATGACCAAAAGTGCTACTCAAATTAGTAACACTATTTAGTTCAGTTTAGTCCAAAAACATACAATGTAATTTGAAAATACACACATAGTTCAGATTACACATATTGCTGCCAAACTAAAACCCTGTTTGTTCAAGTAACATAATCATGCATCATAATTCAAAAGCTGAACTATGCAGATCTACATAGTTAGTTGAGAAGATCTAGGCCTCTTGGGTCCTGTGCGTTCTTTAGGCAATATATCATCGAACTTGTCTTTAAGGTCATTGTATTAGTTGTTAGCATCATCTAGAAACAACGTTGTTCGCAAGTTCTTGTCCTATAACAAACCCAAAAAACAGAGTGATCCTTAAATAGACAATATCAAATGACCCAATTTTGCAGCAACATACCAGAGGAAACTAGTATCAAAACTACTATGTGCACAATGTTTAATGTAAGCAAGAATTAGAACACCACAGGAGAAACTATACATGAATAGCAACATGGTTAGTTTAAGTAACACGAAAATGTGCAATAGTATTTCAATTCCACACTTTAATACCCAAATGCAACCTGCTTATATAAATTATTACCATTTTACGAGTAAAATCGGAGAAGAGTGATGTGTGTGGTTCTTACGTGTCGGTTTGCTTCATCATTTCAACCACCTTCCTAGGCCATTTGTCGAAACTCCCCAACTCCTATAGAGGATCTTTCAGTTGGAACAACACATCAACTGCCTTCACTTGCATGGCAAACCAACAATAGGCATTATTTAACAAAAAAATAAAAATAAAGATGGGTCCTATACAAACCAACAATGGGTGCCCAAGTAACTAACCAATTCAGTAAGAAGCTCCGAATACAGTGAATCAATTATCCAAAGCTGCTTCTTCACTAAGTCCATTGTAAGGCACCACCAGTGTTTATCCCCATCCTTGGCAGACCCATCAAGAATAGGCATGAATACCTGTTCCAGTAACAATTGACAAACACTTTAGACAGTGAATCCAAAAAATTTAAAATTCCGAAAGTGACCTAAAATAGCAGGATCCGTGCATACACATCGTATTTCATCTGTGGGGATGGTTAACAACGGCTTTCAATACTTCCTAGAAGGTTCTTGTAATCCCTTTCCTTGGCCTTTATCATCATCTACGCATGTATAGTGAATCATCAAAATTAATAACTTTAATAATTCTATAGTAAGAGGTCACTTACTTTGCATATAAGTTACAAAAAATCATAACACCCCTAACACTAACACTAACCGCTAGACTTGTCAATCGGGTCAGTCGGGTCGATTTGGGTCACGGGTCCTTTTGGGTCGGGTCACGGGTTGAGAAACGCTTAACCCTAACCCAAAGTTTCGGCTTCAGTCAACCCAACGGGTTTAGCATAATTTTTTATTTAATTTTTTTTTTGGCTAATTTTTAGAAATTTTTGATTTTTCAAGCTTACTTTGCTATTTTTTCCCACATTTTTAATCGAACATCTTCACCATATTATTTTGGATTAGATAGAGCTAGGCATCGTGCCGTGCCGGGCCGCCGCATGTTGTGCCTCACCGTGCCAGGAGGTGGGTCGTGCCATGCCGTGCTGGGATGGTGGGTCGCGCTATGCCGAGCCACCCCAGCCCACGGCACGGCGCGGCCACGTGCCTGGCTAGCCAAGTCGTGCCTGGCCACGGGCCTGCCCATTATTTTTATTAATAATTAATTAATTTTAATATTTTTATTATTTTTATTTTTATTATTTATAGTTCTTTATATTATGATAGTTCTTTTAATTATTTTTATTTTTATTAAAAATAAAACTCTTAAACGTCACAAATTTAAGGAAGAGGCTAGCATTATTATATATGTGAAGTATAATATCACTTGACATAATATCAGTAGACATACATATAAATCAGTGGCATGACAGTGATGTGGGTTATGCGTATGCAATTAGTGTGGGTCAATAGTTAGTATAGGAGGTGATTAATGTGGATTTGAGTAAGAGTTATATGAGATAGATAAATGAAAAAGTGATTAAATGAATGCCTGATGGTAGACAAACGATCAAACTTAATCAATAAACTAATATTAATTTTCAAATAAATGTTTTTTAAAAAAAATCCATAAAATCAGGTCAACTGGTCGGGTTAGGGTTCGGGTCGGGTTTGAACCTCAAATTTACGGGTTAAACGGGTTCGGGTTAAATTGGGTTACTGTAGGCTTCGTTCGAGGCGCGCCTACTTAAGCATGTTGAGAATATATTTGGCACTCATAGGAAGTGGGAATTGACATATGATTAGGGACAAAGCAAAGTAGGGAGCCGCCAACAAGTTTTTAAGGAATTTGTAAACGTTCACGGATCATTATAAGGCAACCACGATAAGGGACAACGAAAGGCAACAACGATTGACCTGTGAAAGTTACACCCCATTCATAATCCATGAGATTACTAACTCCATATGGTTCTTAACCACGAAAGGGGGATCGGGGATGATGGTACGAAGTGAGTCATGGTGTCCCATTCGCCCATATTGGCCTCTACTCGATTCTTGTTGTGAAAAGTATTTCCTACGATCTCAAAGGCATACAAACAAAGATTCAATTTTCTCTAAACTATTATTAAGCTAAATTGGTTGAATGTTAATGCAACATATAATTCTAAAATATTGTGATCACTTCAATTAAACAATAAGATTAAAAAGGAACCTAAACCGGTCGTCCAAATTATCTTATTACATATTCCCTTTAACATGCAATATGGTGATAAAAAAATATAATAAAATAAACATCAACATTGGAAGCAATTTAACCATAAAAATAAAGGTTAGTATATGAAAAACATAACAAAAACTGTTAGAAATATAACAGGAACAAAAGGAATAAGATTCCTTACTTTGATTGCTTTTGCTTGCAACTATAAAACAATAAACGCGTTAGTAATTTCAAGGAAAATTAATAAACAATAATGGAAATTAAATCAAATAAAAGTAAAGTTGATTTGGGGTTAAACCCTCAAACAGTTCTACCTTTCACGCCTTGGTTTAAGTTTAGAACTTTGGGTAAAGTGCGGAATCAAGGGAGTGCTTAGGGAATGTATTGTGAAAGAATAGGGAAGGAAAGTATTTAGGCTAGAGCATAAGAGAAAGAATGATTTTTGGTGCCCCAAAACTGAGAAATCAGCCTCGTATTTATAGAGGAAATGAGAGGGGTGAGGTCCGAAAACCCTAGAAATGAAGCGCCGCGAAGAAAATTAACCTAG